TGGCCTCCAGCAGCCCGTCCTACCCTCGGGTCATCCAGGCTTCGAGTCATCCTGACCTCGGATCATTCTGTTGAGAGTTTCAGTTTGACACATTTTTTATGTGTATATTTTAGCTCTTCAGTTCTTTTAATTCTTAGAGGCAAATCTACAAAAAGAATAAGAGAATTTCAATGCAGAAAATGTTATCATATCTACTCTTATTTGACAATTGAAAAACTGAACTTCCTTCATTTTTTTGTGGCTCCGAAGTGCTTTCTTAAGATCTTCGGGTAGGTAGGACCGACTTGGTCAACTAGGCCTTTCTATCCTCTGACTCGGTCAGTATTTGTCAATCAGCTTATCTGACCTGGTTGTTGGCCTTATTCGTAACTTAGAGAAATTTTCTTTTCTTTCTGAACATTTGTGAGTAAACGTATAGGAAATTATGTGTAATTTTTTTTACCATAAAATAAAGTGAACTTTTCGATCCGTTTTTTTACACTTTTTTTTTGTGTTTTTCCTCTTATCAAGTGTTTTTTTTTTCTAATGACAAGCACTCGACTTATGATGATTGATGAGTTCATTTTTGATATTAAATGCAGATCGGATGTCTTGCGTCTCTGTAGGTCATTTTAAGCGTTTTGTACCGATCGGACAACTTACGTCGTTGTCGGTTTTACGGCATTGATGTTTGACTCGCGTCTTACGCTTCTCAACTCTTTTTTTGAGATGATTTGCTAGGTATCTTTTAGGAGCTTCTCGCTAATGGGTAGAGAACCACCTTCAGATCCTTATCCAATTCAAGTTTGGAGACATGTGTTTATGACCCGTGAGCGTTGCAGGCAAGATCTTTGTGCATTCCACCGATTATACCTCTTGGCGTCGTCAGCCTTACTGCTAGAGTTCAAGTTCCCAGAGTGTTGGTTAGACATCGAAGCACATAAACTCCTAGAGTTTCCTAAGTGTTGGTCAAATTTTGAACATCTATTACACAAAACTTCTCAAGTTCCCCGAATGTCGGTCGGACCAGAGATTATCACATTATTAGAAATGTTTTACTTATCTTTTTTATGAATGAAATACATTAGTTAGAATCGAGGCACTTTTTTATTGTTGTTCATTCAGATTGCTGGTCGTCAGACGGTGGGTTATCCAAGCTACCCTTCGAGGTTGCTAGTCAGTTCATGCAAACCAACTATTGTTGTTGTTGTTGTTGTTGTTAGTATTAGTATTAGTATATAATTGTGTTAATGCTTAATATTGAAAAAAAACCAATGAAAATTGCCAAATTGGTCACCTAATTGATTCGCCTGGTGCAGTAAACAAAATGCCTTCGTCAAAGGAATCAATGACTTCCATTTTATTCTGCAGAAATGACACATTTAAGTCGTGCGAGCGGCTAACTCTTCGTTCCATTGATCGCCACAACCACAAGAGTGACAAAAGAATAAGAGATATAAACGTAATTATTAGGGGATAATGAGGGTGATAAAAAAAATATTTAAGATTTGAAAATCACTTGATTTCTAAGTCTAATGAGTCAGAATTTGAGCCTGGATTGATGTAATATTAATAGAAGGCAATCTTTACTCGTTCAATTTGTTAAATCCAGATTTGTCAATAAATTGCACTATAAGGGATTAGAATGTTAGAAATGAGAGAGAGATGGGGGAGGGGAGGGATAGAGGGAGAAGTGCACTACCATTTGCCCCTCTTATGTGAAATAATCTCCTATTTATACAGGATGAAATACAATCTGAGATATTACATTTCTAACTATACTTTGATGAGGATTCTACAAGTTATTTTAGGTATTTTTACATGTATAAGACTTCAGGTCGGTTATATTAAGTCATCCAGGCTTCTGGTCGACCTGGCTTCAGGTCTTTCGGGCCTCAGGTCGTCTGATTGTCAGGTTGTCCTGACCTCGGGTCAACCCAATGTCTGGTCGTCCCGACATTGGGTTGTCTCAATCCCGAGTCATCCAGGCCTCGAGTCATCCTGGGTTTGGATCATCCTGGCCTCCAGCAGTCTGTCTTGCCCTCGGGCCGTCTAGGCTTCGAGTCGTCCTGACCTCGGATCATTTTGTTGAGAGTTTCAGTTTGACACATTTTTTATGTGTATATTTTAGTTCCCCGGTTCTTTTACTTCTTGAAGGCAAATCTACAATAAGAATAAGAGAATTTCAATGCAAAAAATGTTATCATGTCTACTCTTATTTGACAATTGAATAATTGAACTTCCTTCATTTTTTGTGGCTCTGAAGTGCTTTCTTAAGGTCTTCGGGTAGGTAGGACCGACTTGGTCAACTAGGCCTTTCTATCCTCTGACTCGGTCAGTATTTGTCAATCAGCTTATCTGACCTGGTTGTTGGCCTTATTCGTAACTTAGAGAAATTTTCTTTTCTTTCTGAACATTTGTGAGTAAATGTATAGGAAATTATGTGAAAATTTTTTACCATAAAATAAAGTGAATTTTTCGATCCGTTCTTTTACCCTCTTTTTGTGTTTTTCCTCTTATGAAGTGTTTTTTTTTCTAATGATAAGCACTTGAGTTATGATGATTGATGAGTTCTTTTTTTATATTAAATGCAGATCGGATGTCCTGCGCCTTTGTAGGTCATTTTAAGCGTTTTGTACCGATCGGACAACTTATGTCGTTGTCGGTTTTACGACATTGATGTCTGACTCGCGTCTTAAACTTCTCAACTCTTTCTCTGAGATGATTTGCTCGGTATCTTTTTAGGAGCTTCTTGCTAATGGGTAGAGAATCACCTTCAAGTCCTTATCCAATTCAAGTTTGGAGACATATGTTTATGACCCATGAGCGTTGCAGGCAAGATCTTTGTGCATTCCACCGATTATACCTCTTGGCGTCGTTAGTCTTACTGCTAGAGTTCAAGTTCCCAGAGTGTTGGCTAGACATCGAAGCACAAAAACTCCTCGAGTTTCCGAAGTGTTGGTCAAATTCTGACCATCTATTACACAAAACTTCTCAAAATCCCGAAGTGTCGGTCGGACCAGAGATTATCACATTATTAGAAATTTTTTACTTATCTTTTTTATGAATGAAATACATTAGTTAGAACTGAAGCACTTTTTTATTGTTGTTCATTCAGATTGCCGGTCGTCAGACAGTGGGTTATCCAAGCTACCCTTCGAAGCTGCTAGTCATTCATACTGTGGGTCATCCAGACTGCATCGATTGGGACATGGCCCAACCAAACTTAATCCTCTGTTTTTCTCATTGTGCTACTGCTCTTCTTGTTGGTGGCATGGTCTACGCTCACCACACCTTTTAGGTAGTTAAATCTAGATTTGTCCACAAATCATATCTTAAGGTATTAGAGCATTAGAAATGAGAGAGAGAGAGAGAGAGAGAGAGAGGGAGAGAGTAGAAGGTAGAGACATAGGGAGGAGGAGTGCACATTGAATTTCCCCCCAGAGAAACTACGGTATTATTGAGCTTTTGTGGTCATTTTTATATAATCAAATATGTTTGATACAAGTGGAAATGGAGAAAGCCAAAAGAAAAAAAAAACGGGCCCCTTTTACATGAAATGATCCTTTATATATAGAAGATGGAGCGCAATATGAAGTCATTACATTTATAATCATGTTTTAATGAGGGTTGTGTAGGTTATTGTACATATATAAGCTTGCAGCTCGGCTATATTGGGTCGTCTAAGCTTCAAGTCGTCCTCGCTTCGAGTTGTCCAGACATCCAGTCATTCTGGCCTTAAGTCGTTATGGTATCGGGTCGTCCTGGCCTCGGGCCGTTCAGGCTTCGTGTTGTCAGGCCTCAAGTCATCCTGATCTCGGGTCGTCCTAGCCTCCGCTCATTCAGGCTTCGGGTCATTATAGCCTCGAGTTGTCCGCGCTACAGGTCATCCTTTACTTAGAACATCTAAACCTCAGGTCATTTGGGCTTCGGGTAGTCCTAACCTTCAGTCATCTTGGATTCCAGTCTTCCTAGTTTCAAATCCTCTAGGTTTCGGGTCGTCTTGGCCTCTAGCTATCCAGGTTTTGGGTCGTCCAGGCTTTGGGTCGTCTGACATCAATTCTTCCAGTCTTCAGGTCATTCTGGCCTGAGATTGTCCAGACTTTTGGTCATTTTACTGAGAGATTCAGTCTGACACATTTTTTTACGTTTGTGTGTGTGTGTGTGTGTGTGTGTGTGTGTGTGTGTGTGTGTGTATTAAAAGAAATGGCCTGAGGCTATTATATGAGTTTTGGTCATCCCCCATGCGCGCAACAATTCGAGTACCACACCCTCCACCGGAGGGAATCAAACCACAGACAAACCACAGACCAGAAGAGACTTACAATTGACAAGCAGATGCCCAACCACCTGATCTGAGTACACGGCGCGTCTATATATATATATATATATATAATGGTAACTTGAAGCATATATTTGTTAAGTGAGTGTTACTTACATCATACTATTTGCAGATGTTTAATACTAATGATTATGTGTAATTCTTTTTTATATAAGGCAACCCTGATATTATCAAGCATTAAGAATAAACTGAAAAATATATAAGAATAATGGGACAGTTTGAACATTTAATTTTGGGGTTTCTACATACATAGCATTCAAAACATTTTTACTTACATAATACTAATTTGAGTACTAAACCTTTAATTTTTCTATTTCCAAAATATATATATTACTAGCATAAACCCGTAATTAGTATCTTAGCTCCATTACAACATTCATTTATTAAATTTTATTAAGAATACATATACCAATATTTCTCATTATTTAATTTGATGATAGCAAATCAAATATGATATTATTTAATAATTTATTAAGCAATTAATAGCAACTATGTAGATAAAATTTTGATGTTCACTAAGCGACTTGGAGCATATGTCACTTCAAAATGAATATCAGTTGGATCATCATATGAAAACTCAAATGTGATGCATACATCATGAAATTTAATATAATCTTTAAGTCAGGCCTTTGTATATATTCAGGTTGTCGTTAGCTGTTTGATTGAGTTGGATCCTTATCAAAGTTCTATTTTTTATTTTTTTTTTATTTTTAATGTTGTATCTCAAGTGAGTTACGGCTGCGCTTGCTGGCTGTCAATGGAGAGTGGGCTTCTGAACCCTGAAGACCACCCTCCATTTTTCAACCAACGAAGAGTAGAACCAGGCTCCCATCTATTCTTTATTTCTTATAATTCATTCCGCAAATATCTCATTTTTATTTTACTTAATTCATAAATCATATTCCCTCTGCAAAAACTTGTTCTGTATCTTCTTCTTCGTTCTTCTGCTCGCCCTTAGTTTTTCTTTTCTGCATTCTGAAAGAGTTGGGAAGGGACGAAGACCTCTTCTTTGTGTAAAAATGCGGTCTTTACTAAAATTGCGATTTTTGAGATGACATTTCGAGGTGAAGGAATAAGATCCGTCGCGTTAATGTCATAAAATTTCCTATAAATTCTTTCTATCTTTTGAATACACTTTGTGCTGTGGGATTACATACAAAAAATCTGAAATTTTTGTTATTTTTGCACGCACTAGGGTTTGAATTTCCTTCCTCGTGACAGTTTTTCAGTTGATTCTTTTCATTAGAAACTTCATTGCCACCATTAAAACATTGCTAGCTACATCAAATTTTGAGTCACAACTCATTGCTACCATTAATGTATTTTTATTTACAGTTGCTAATATATAACCTCTTATTTACTAATATTATCATATTATTGGTGCATGTTTTCCATACTCATTAAAATGTTCTCCAATAAACGTTGTACTCATACTCATGCAATTGGGTATCCTATAGGTATTTAATGTATAGGACTATGGATGATGATGATAAATTCAGCATTTTATAATCTTTCTTGGGTTCAATGTGCTTCACATTGTCAATTTTTTTCTTATTTCTTTTGTTGCTAATAACCTGTTTTTAATTGCCTGAGCTTTCATTGTTTTAGCTGATATCTAAGTCTTCTTGTAACAATTGAGGCCTGGATTTGTAAAAATCAGTTGTCAGAGTAAGATGAGTGTGCCGAAAGTGAAGCGTCAAGTGGGTAAATACGAGCTCGGCCATTCAATTGGAGAAGGAAGGTTTGCAAAAGTGAGGCTTGCGAGGAACTTGGAAACCGAAGAACAAGTTGCTATAAAGATAATTTCGAAAGAAAAGGTTCTAAAGCATAAATTGGTCGAGCAGGTCTTATTCGTATTTTTGAACCTTTTTAATTACACAATTTTGCTCTATGCTTTCAATCTCATGTGTTTGTGTGTGTGCTTGTTTTTTTGCTGCCTTTATGTATATCTTTGCCCTTGTTTAGAAGGATTATTTTGTGGGATTCCAAAATTGATGGGCTAACTTGTATTTAGTTTATCTTTGATAGTTTTTACTTCCATTTTTTAGGAATGTTGGTGCTTGGTTTGAGCCAAAGGCTTGCAAAATGAACGTTCACTCTTTTTAAAGTTGGGTCATTTACAAACATACCGCAAAATTCTTATGTTTACGTATCCAACTCCTAAACTTTCATATTTACATGATAGCACTCAAAATTTTTAATATCACCTCAGAAGTACCACTTTTACTTCTTAAAATCCCCTTTAAATTTGTATTGACAATGATGTTTTTCTAAGAGCATATAAATCTATTCCCATATTTTCTCTAGGTTGTGTCAAGATTAGCAAAAATATAGGTTGGACACAAGGCCAATTATAAAAATAAATCTACATTGGATCTAGAGAAATTCATCATAGTTGGTATGGGACCTTTAGGTGAGAAACCAAGTAGTATACTGCTTGAGTCAAAGCCCTTTGATTTATTAACGGTGATGTGGCAGAACTGACAAATATGTTATGAGGTTTTAAATTAAAAGTATCTTAATTAGAAAAATCACTTTTTAAGGCAGGCATCTTCATGCAAACTGTTACACAATAACAAGCTGATGCACATTACAATCTTCCACTATATTTGTTTTGTTTTTTTTTTCTTTTCAATTTCAACTATAATCTCTAATATCAAATAACGCCACTAAACTGTAACTCGTCTTGGCAGATTAAGCGCGAAATTGCCACAATGAAGTTAATAAAGCACCCGAATGTTATCCGGCTGCATGAGGTATTTTTTGAGCATTCTATTTGGTTATCATTGTTTTCATTTTGCTGCTACTAAAAAGTTTTGCACTTTCTCAGTAAAAAGAAGATTTGGTGATGCAATATCAAATTTTTCTTAGTTTTAGAACCTTACAACTACTATTGATTTCCGACTATATTTAAGCATGTACATCTCCATTATACTTTTTAGATCTGGAATTCTACTATTTATCAGCTTAACCAGATAGTACCTGGGTTTATTTGTAATATTTCTATTTCCCCTTAGCATTATATTATTTATAAATGTTGTAAAATGCTACAGTATGTTATGGCATCTTCATAAGTTAGCATGTTTAAGTTGAACTATATCTAAAAGGGCATGGTTTTTAATCCCACAATCAACAAAATTTTCAACATGTCAACAATGGTTTCCACTGGGCACAAACTGAAATGCCAAACAACACAAAATTTAAGTGAAGCGGCAGATCATAAAACATTCTGGGAAGGATCGAAATAATGCGTATGCGTTTCATATTCGAACTTTTTTGAAATTCCATAAAAAATTTTAAATTTTGATCAGAAGGGCTTTATCAAATTTCAATTCTTTCATTGGTCTTATCTGTTTAATTACTAGCAATTATAACGGGAAAATGATGCTTGAATTTTGATTTCAGCCAATCAAGATCATCATACCCACTATGTAATTTGTATTGTGATGGGGATTGCGATTCATAAAGAAAACAGATACTAGAAAGCAAGAAATTCATAGTTTTAATGCTTTAGTCCGTGCTTAAATTTGAAATTTAAGCACGGACTAAATTACTTGCGACTGCAACTTATGCTTTCTCTACCTTGTTTTTTTGGTTGCAATGTTACAGTTTTCCTTCTTTTAGGATTTGTTTAGATTAAAATAACAACAGCAACAACAAAGCCTTAATCCCACGATATGGGGTCGGCTACATGAATCATTTTTCTCCATTGCATCATATTTAGTGTCATATTTTCATTTAATTCTAATAAATTAAGATCAATTTTTATACAATATGCCCAATGTTGAGAAAATTAGGGCGAAGAAAACAGCAATCGACACAAATCCAGAAGAACACAGAGATTTAACGAGGTTCGGCAAAGATGCCTACGTCCTCGGGAGCAGAGCGGCGAGTTCCTTTCAATAATCAGAAAAGGGTTTACAGAAATCAGGCATACCTCCTGGGGTTACTAACAGGCCTATTTATAACCCCAGGAGTAAACCTAGGCACAATATGTAATTACAACATTACCCCTGTACCAAACCGCGGGGCTTTGCCCCCGCACCCCAACCCACGTAACTTCTCAATTTGGATAGATTCTTCCGCTCCGCTCCGCTCCGGTTCGATCCAGCGTCTGTCCCGATATGGTATATGAGTCATACCATAACACCCAACTCTTTCTAGGTTTAACTCAACCTTCTTAACATAAGTCCAATCTAAAAAATCCGCCAACCAGATCATCAGATGGTAGACGTTCATTAGATAATTAAATAACACACAAAATTCAGTTTAGTTGTTGCTTGTATATTAATATGCATCCATTTTTTGAGGTTTTTGTCCACTTCTTATCTCAACACGCACAAATTCCTATCATCCAAACAAGCCTTTTAGTTTTTTGGAACTAAGAGAAATTGTGAGGAATCAGACTATGAAATTTTTAATATTACTTGATTCAACTGATGTAGCTATGACCAATTTCTTTTCTTGTTTTAATATCGTATAATCTGCTTCGCTACATCAGGTAATGGGCAGCAAATCAAAGATCTTCATTGTTCTTGAATATGCTACTGGTGGAGAGCTGCTTAATAACATTGTGAGTAGCAGATCTAAAGTTTGCTGTTTTTGTAAATTTTGCCTGCTGCGAGCGGGCAGAGGGTTCAAGTGTAATCAACTTGAGCTATCAACATTGGTTCAAGAAATCATTTCGCGTTATTGCCGCAGTTTTCCCCCAACTGTGTTCTCTGTGCACCGAGTTAGAATTTTGCGTGATATCTTGTAGCATATTAATTCGTTGGGCATTTACATACTTACCACACAATTCTTACACCTTAACATTCATATTTAGATGCATAACACTCAAATCCTTAACGTCACATCAAAAATGTCATCATCACAGCATATTAATTCGTTAGCTATGTTTTAACTGTTCAACTTCTGTTATCATTTTCCCTTCTTTTTATATGTAAAAATATTCTGATTTCAATGTATATAAATGAACATGGAAGATTGATCATGGAAGAATGGGGGAAGCTGAAGCAAGGAGATATTTTCATCAATTGATTAATGCTATTGATTTTTGCCACAGCAGAGGGGTCTACCACAGGGATTTAAAGGTAAATTAACTGATGGTGCATGATATTTAGCACATCTTATACCACTTTAAACAGTTTGATTAATTATTTTTTTTTATTTTTATTTTTACCTTTTGCAGCTGGACAATCTGCTTCTTGATGCATCTGGCAACCTCAAACTTTCTGATTTTGGTTTTAGTACACTTTCACAGAAAGTTAGGGTAATTATTATACTAGGAAGAAACATATATATACCTTTTGCTAATAGTGTTTTATAAAGCATAAAAATAAAATAATTATTAGGATGATGGTTTGCTTCACACTGCATGTGGAACTCCAAATTATGTAGCTCCAGAGGTTTGTATAGCTTTATGATCATTACTACTTTATATATTGAATAACTTAGGGGCTCTTTGGGATCACTTTTGATTTTTTTTTTTATTTTTATTTTATTTTTATTCTTTTTTTTTTTTAATGTTTTTACTTGAAATAATATATGTTTGGTATATCATAACATAATTTGTTATTTTTAGAAATACTCGATGATTTTTAGATGTTTTGACTGTTTTTAAAAATAAGCTTATTTGTTTCTTGAAATAAAAAATAAAAATATGCAAAAAATGCACTGAACAAATGAGTTTTAAAATAAAGGCAAAAATAAATTAAATAAAATTAAATAAATAAAGCTGATCCCAGTAAACAAACCCTTAGTTTTTTTAGATCAATTTTCTCTTTTAATTTTTGCTTTTTTTTAAGAAACATATTTGTTTAATGTATTTTTCACAAATAATTTTTTTTAAAATAAATCAACTTACTTTTTCCAAAGCATTCATAACAATTTTTGGATGTTCTAAGCATTTTAGAAAGAACTAAACGTGTCTGAGCATACCAAACATATTTTATCTTAAATAAAAATATAAATAAAAAAAAGGTAAAGTTGATCACAAACAGTCCCTCACTAAAAGATAAATTGGCAACATGAATAATCTACCCCTATCTTTTTATTAAGGTTCTTAATGATAGAGGCTATGATGGAGCTCCTGCTGACCTTTGGTCATGTGGGGTTATCCTGTTCGTATTGCTTGCAGGATACTTGCCTTTTGATGATCATAACATAAGAAATTTGTATAAGAAGGTATAAAGAGAGAGTTTTTGGAATCCTAATTGTCCGGTTTCTTGTGCCTTCTCTAACATAATTTATGTGCTCATGCAGATAGCAATGGCTAACTTCACATTTCCTTCTTGGTTTTCTTTCGGCGCTAAGACATTATTGATGAGAATTCTTAATCCTAATCCAAAAACGGTCAGTATTTTATTTACTTCGACCTCATTGTGCTTCGTCTTGGTAGCCTCTTCATAGCAACCATGAGGTTGATTGAAATAAATATTGGGAACGAAACAATCCGCTTAATTTCATTGGACTTAGGTTCAATTAAAAACTAAACCAATTCACATAATAGGATCACACAAATTCGAGAAAATCAAACAAAATTACGAATATAAGCGCGACAAAGATAATCCAAAAAAGCACGCAAGTATTTACTATAGAAAAACCCAAAGCAGGAAGAAACCACGAAGCTGCACCAACGAGAAATTTTGTTAACTTTAGAACTTATTTTACTTTCTACTTGGCCAGTTGATTGTTAAAATCTTTTGTGAATATTGATATTCGGAAGGATTCTTTATGGAACAAAAGAGTTAACAACATGAATTCATTGTAATAGGGATATTGTCATTGGATTCATGCAATCTTCTAGGAGACATTTTCTTATAGACATTTTCTTATTAGCAGTTCAATAGTATTAGGGAACTAAATGTAAGACTGTTATTCTTCCTCAGACCACCAAAAGAGGATAAGAAAGAATTATTCTCCTGACTGACACTAATTTTTGAATGTAATCCTTAGTCATTTCTATCACTAGATCAATTAAGGAGGGAAATTCTTAACCCCTGATTTATAAAATATTCTTTTTGCTTGTTAGGATAGACCATTTTTTTATAACTTTTGAATAGAACTAAAATTGAACTTGCAAATTAAACTCTTCAGGCTTAGGCTGAAAATTGTAGGCTAGAAATTTTTCTTGGAATTCATCTCATTCCTTATGGGATCGATAACCAGACTCAAACTCCAGTACTACTGATACGTCACGTAGTCTTGTGTGAGTCACCGTGCTTTGCAGCACTTGGTGTGTGTCATCTTCACAGAAATTCAGATCAATTGATTTCAAATCCTAAAGTTTATTTTTAGAAGGTAAGGACTTCATACCTTTCTAGCTCATATGGCCAAGCCTACGGTGCCATAGACATATATCCACCCAGTTCCCAACAACATCGATGAAATCAGTCATTTCATTGATCAGGTAAAAAGTGCCTTTAATGTTGTCCTGGTCAACTTCCACGAATGACCTATGAAAGTGGTCACAGAAATAAGATTTCTTTTCAGACTTGGAATATGTCTAACTTCAGTAAGCTTCCATACTATTCCATTTGACAACCTGATATCAACACCATCTTTATTATGATACTACAGGTCTTGTTATCTTCCAGATAAACCTTTTCTAGATCACTCTGAGTATAGTTTTTAAATACATTTTTACTAGGGCAAACATGAAAAGAGGCACCTAAATCTACTATTTAAATTCAGTACTAATTAAGGATAATATTTGGTAGTCGTTTTAAATTTCACTAGTGGAGACATTCATAGAGAGATTCATTTTTTGTCCTCCACCACCGACTTTCCTTGTTGCTTTGCAGTCCTTCTTGAAATGCCATTTCTTTCCATGTTCCAACATTATTCTATGTTATTTCCTCTGCTTGATCTGGACTTTCCTCTCTTGGACTTGGATTTGCCTTTGTGAGTATTCATTTCCAAAATCTTTCCTCTATTATCAATATTCAAGACAGACATAAAAATTCACCATTCAATGCTTTTTTGCAAACTTCTTCATTCAACATCAAACCTACGATGTCATCGAATTTCAACTTCATATTCCCTGAAGAATTATTCACTGTCGTGACCAAACCATCCCAACTGTCCGACAATGAAGACAATATCACCAGTGTTTTGACCTCTTCATCAAACTTGATCCTACATAATACAATTGACTAGTTACAGTGTTAAAATTATTCAGATGTTTTGTCACATAATTGTCTTCCACTATCTTCGTGTTGAGTAGCCTTTTCATTAGAAAAACTTTATTTGAGCATAAGATTTTTCATACATCTTGGTCAGTGTCACCAAGAAATCCACCGTGGTGTTTTCATTTACAATGTTGAACGCAACAAATGAGGATACCAACAACTAGATCAAACCTAGTGTTGTTCGATTCAACACTTCAAATTCCTCCATAGCCATAGACTCAGATTTCTTAGTGATTCCTTGTAGTGGCAAATGCAACTTTTTTTATACAACAAATCCTCTATTTTTCTCCTTCAGAATCCGAAGTTCGTCCATTCCACTTTGAACCTTGCTTGTTTGACCATTGCTTCCGCTCGAATTGAATATCGCTTTGATACCACTTTGTTGTTGGGAATGAAACAATCCCCTTACTTTCAAAATGCTTAGGTTAAATTTGAAACTAAACTACGCCACATAATAGGATAACACAGATTCGGGAAAACCGAAATAAAATTAGGAACAAAAGCGCAATAAAGACAATCCAGAAAAGCTCACAATGATTTAATGTAGAAAAACCTGGGAATGAGAAAAAACCATGAAGTCATTCTACCAAGAAATTTCCACTATGAATCATAAAGTTTTATAGAAATCTCACTCATATTTCCTCTCTACAATCAAAAGAACTTACAAGATCTCGCTCCAATTCTTCCCTCTTAATCCGACAAGAGAAACACATGCAAATTTCTCCTCTTCGACGCTTCTCACTTTCACCGAGAAAATGTCGAAGAAACTTGCGCTTTGGAAGTTCCTCACTGGAACTCACATCTTCCGTTGCTCAAAAATGTCCCTTTAAATCGAATTAGAACTAATTGCACCCATCGCAGGAGCGACCGAAGTTTGGCGCTTCAGCGCCGGTCACTCGGAATGTAAATCAAAAACTTGAACTCTCGAACCCAAGAGGCAGGCACAAGGGCTCCCACAGTTGGGCCCAAGATCACCCGCATGGGCTCAGGGGCGCCCATTCACTAAGTGCAGAGGCGCCTGTAGCTTGGCACTAAAGCGCCAAGCGGTCAGTCTCCAGCCTACTGCTATTGTGCTGCTCCAAATCAAGCTCCACACCATAACAATTAATCCATTAGCCTAGAAATAAATCTTCACAGATTAACTGAACTATATGGTACCCAATTTCAATCATTTATTATGTTGTTTTGTATGTTTAATCATACAATTTAATCATTTTTTTTTTGTTTTGATGATAGAAATGCAAAAAAAACAAAATAAATAATAATAATAATAATAACTAGAAATTTTTAAAATGGAGGTTCAATGTGGTAATAAAATTTTGTCATCTTCGACCCTGCCTCGCCATATATTATCAACTTTAAGTTTGTTTGGATGATGACAGAGGATAACTATCTCTGAAATATTGGAAGATGAATGGTTTAGAAAAGGAGACGAACCTTCTGTTCTCGATGGAAATTATGAAACCAATTTGAATGAAGTTCATTCTGCTTTCAAGATCTCACAAGTGAGTCAAATATGAGCATCAAGCCGAGGCCTTTCTTAATTTTCGTGACTTATTTTGTGTTTTGCATCACTTTTTGTATCGAAATTCTTCTGATATAGTAGCTATATGTTCATGAATTTACCAGGATCACCATGAGACAGGAAACGAAGAACAACCAGCAGCACTGAATGCATTTGAGTTGATTGGCTTGTCAAAAGGCTTAAATCTTGAGAGCCTGTTCACCATAGAACAGGTACAGAGTTTCTCTTGAATTTTCATTCTTAAATCTCATTCCTGAACACAACATTATTATTTGTTTATTTCAGGCATTAAAGAGAGAAACCAGGTTTACTTCAACATGTTCTGCCAATGAAATCGTCAGAAAGATTGAAGATGCAGCAAAACCTCTTGGATATGACATTCACAAGAAGAACTATAAGGTGGTCTAAAAAACTGCTTATGAACCAGTTATACTTAAAGCTTAGGAAACAAATAACCAGGTTACAAGGACTGGTGTGAAAAAGCATGTTTTCAAACATTTTGAGTTTTTCACATTTTAAAGTTCGGTTTCTAAGCTTTATGCGAAGTTCGTTTGTCGGATAGTCCTATGTTATTCAATGCAAATAACTTATTAAAAAAAAGCAATGTATTGTGACATATGAGCTATATTTGATGGCTATGGTGCTTTGTAGATGATGCTTCGAAATGTGAAAGCGGGTAGGAAAGGAAATCTCAATGTTTCGACGGAGGTTTTAGAAAAAAATCTCATTTTTAGTTTCTATGGGATTTATAATCTTGTTGACCTGAATTCTAAATGTTCAGGTATTTCAAGTGGCCCCTTCCTTGCATATGGTTGAGGTGCGTAAGGATAAAGGGGATACACTAGAATTCCAAAAGGTATATTTTGACTTGCCGATTCAACAATTATTCATTTACATGACATATCCTAATGAGCATTTTTTGGGTATTATGTTGAAAATAATCATTTTAACAAGATTTTGGAGCATAAAATGCATCAAAATTTGAATTTTGTTTATATGGCAGCTTAATATGAGAGCATCTGTTGTTGCTCTTCAAAATTGTTGCTTATGAGAAAAAGCTTTATAACACTTTCAATATGTTGGGGAAGTCATCTGTTAGAAATTTAAGTTCATTAGAATTGATTTTAGTTATAGATTAGCTCTGCCGAACAATTCGCTCGGTACAAAGCATTTATATGGTCAAAAATGTAATTTAATTTTTGCACTCTAAACTTGAAAGCCACAAAAAATAGCATACTGATTGTTATTTGTTTGCTGAATAAGTGCAGTTCTATAAAACATTGTCTGCATCACTCAAAGATGTAATTTGGATGTCCGAAGAGGATTAGCAAGCCCAACCTCCCAAATTATGAGTTCAGAAATCATTCTGCTACCGTTCAGAAAATTCTCCTTGCATATCTGTTTTTTATTATTTATTATTTTATTTTATTTTATTTATTTATCTTATTTTATTTTATTTATTTACTTTTGCTTTAAATAATTATAAATTTTCAAAAACTTGCTCAGGGGATGATGTTTGTAATTAGGAAATTACAAGCATACATGTCCTCAGATGCAGTTATCCATTCTTCTCATATGGAAATTGTTAAAAACTTTGTTTGTAAGATTGACAATGGAGAGTAATGGTGTCATTGAAAAGTCCCCTTTTTTTTCCCTTATCCAAACACCTTTCTTCTGGTTAAAAGTATTGAACAATTTGATGTCTTTGTTTGACTTGATGTGATGATTACCTACAACAATATGAATAAGCTCTAGCTTTTTAATGCCATAATTTTATTTTTGTTTGATTTATTTATTATCGAATTGAATATGAGTTAAATATAAATAAGAGATCAATTTGTTGACTATTAAATTCTTAGACAATTCTTCTTTTGATGGATTCATTTTTGAAGGAATGAAGTTTGATCTTCAGAACTTCGTGTCCAAAACACATGATTGTATTTTTATGGGTTGATTTTAGTATTAACTGTTATTTTGACCCCCAATTAATAAACTAAGGCAAAAGGGCAATTTTGTAATGTGGCACCGCCACCTACCACATCTCACCTACCTCTCACCTACCGGCCACCTACCGGTAAGCCCAAGTCTTTTTAGGTCTACCTCTACCTTTCTTAACATAAGTCAAATTTAAAATATATACTCTCCTAACCGAATCATCAGATGGTCGGTGTTTAATGTGACCAAATCTTCTAAGATGAACTCTCTAATCTTGTCAGCCATTACATCAACACCTATTTTATCACGAATTTATTCATTTCACATTTTGTCTCTAAGTGTCAAGCAACTCATCCATCTAAGCATCCTCATCTCAGCAATGCTTAACTTTGTGTTATGCCAACATTCTACGTCATAAGCATTGCAGGTCTGACCACCATCTTATATATCTATACTATTATTATAGAAATGGATTGTGATTTTTTGGATATCAAATTTTGACATCATTTTATTTACCAACTCTAATTCAAGGTGTCGCTTGAGAGGGAAGTCGTAGAAGGAAGATGAGGGCTCATCTCTATGTATAAGCTATGTATTCTCCATTTCTTTTGTCTTAGTGAAATATTTGATTGATTCCCTCCCGTGGACGTAGATCCAGTTGGATCGAACCACGTAAACGATCTGTGTTTGCTTGTGTTCTTTTTCGTCTCATTTCTATGCCAAGAAGTACATATCTCACAACAATTGGCACCGTCTGTGGGAAGATCCATACTTCTTGGCTAGAGGTGTCCGCGTAAAGGTGTTCGCGGCCAGCGAGGAAGAAGAGGAGTTACCTCTGTCTTTCTTAACATAAGTCAAATTTAAAATATCTACTCTCCAAACCGAATCATCAGATGGTCGGTGTTTAATGTGACCAATTCTTCTAAGATGAACTCTCTAATCTTGTCAGCCATTGCAGCAACACCTACTTTATCATGAATTTATTCATTTCGCATTTGGTCTCTAAGTGTCGAGCAACTCATCAACCAAAGCATTCTCATCTCAACAACACTTAACTTTGTGTTATGCCTCTTTTAAAGGCCAACATTCTGTGTCATAGCGCATTGCATGTCTCACCACCATGTTACATATCTATACTATTATTATAAAAATGGATTGTGATTTTTTGCACATCAAATTTTGACATCATTTTATTTACCAACTCTAACTCGATCATTCATTTCATTCGTATTCTTTTCAACACTTTTTTTTTCCAGACATTTTCATATATATACCACACACGTTTGATATATTCAACACATTATATTCATATTTATATGCATATCACTCAAAATTTTTAATTTCACGTTAAAAATATCACCATCACTATCATTTAGAAAAGAAGTATGCATTTTCATGCAAAGATTTAGGATGCTAAAGTATTGTAAGTGTAAATATCAAACTTCTGATGCCAGTTTTTTAAATACATGAGAATTGTGGTATATATGTAAATTTCCCTTGTTTCAAGCTAAATGAATACTCAACTTTAGATTGATGAAATTTTTCATTTTATTTTCAATCAATGCCCTATAAATTCTTACACCAATGTCACTTCATATCCCTACCCACCTCTTCTACTTAGAGGTGTGCTTATTCCTGCCTCATTTATTTCTAATTGCTCAATTTCTAAATGACTAACTAAAATGGAAGAGATCTTGTAACACATTTTTCTTGTGGTAGAGTGAACGCTCGAAACGGACATCATGAGATTCATCTGTTATACATTCGAACACAAGTCGCACAAAGTTGAGCTGTCTTTCTCTCAAGCCAAATCATCATTTTTCATTGTTCTTTGTAGGGCAATTGTCATCTTTCATTTTATTTAGGTTAGATATTTCAGTTGTGAAAATTTTGCTCCTTTTTGTTGAGGAGAAAGCTACGCCTCTTTTTTTTTCTGGCAGGGTGAGTGCTCAAATTCCAACATTTTGAAAATTTTCATTTTATTTTCAATCAATATGCTACACATTCAAGCATATACTATACTCTTTACCTGACGCTCGTTTATCTTCATATAGATGCTTCTCATCTATTTTTTACATGAGCTTGTGGATCTTGTCATCCTTGTTTCTCCATCCATTTTTTATTTCTATCTATTGATCACCTGAATTGAAGATGTTGTAGGCAGAGAGCTTCTGATAGCGATGGTGGATAAAATGCAACAAGATAATTTGTAATCCTTCAAGCTCAATTAAAAGAGGGGTTAACCAATTTTTATGAAATTGCAATGATTTAAACAATAACAACAACAATAATAAGCCTTTTATCCCACTAAGTCGGGTCAGCTACATGGTTCCTTTTTCTCCATTGCGTCATATTCAGTGTCATATTTTCATTTAATTCTAATAAATTAAAATCCTTTTTTTTATAAAACAAGTGCAAGTTTTCTTAGGTCTAACATTGTCTTTCTTAACCTAAGTCGAATCTAAAACATCTAGCCTCCTAATTGGATCATCAAATGGTCAACGTTTAATGTGACCAAAATAATCTAAGATGAATGTCTTTAATCTAGTCACTGAAGCTACACAAACCCTATCACGGATATAATAATTTCACATTTTGTCTATGTAAGTGTTAAGCCACTCTTCCTCCTAAGCATTCTCTTCTCACCAACACTTAACTTTGGTTTATGCTTCTCTTTTGAAGGCCAACATTCTACGTCATAGAGCATTACGAGTATGACCACCATCTTATAAAATTTACTTTTTAGTCTAAGCGGTACTTTTCTATCACACACTAGGCTCAATGCATTCCTCCACTTCAACCAACCAACTTGAATTCTAATGATAACATCCCCATCTATATAATTGTTGTGTGATGTGTACTTCCTGGCATAGAAATGAGACGAAAAGAACACACGCAAACACAGATCGTTTACGTGGTTCGATCCAACTGGATCTACGTTCACGGAAGGGAATCAATCAAATAGTTCTGTAAGGCAAAAGAAATGGAGATAACAGCTTATACATAGAGATGAGCCATCATCTTCCTTCTATGGCCTCCCTTTCAAGCGACACCTTCATACAAGGCCTCAAGATGCTCTCCTTGCTCTCCTAAGTCTCACACCCTCTCTATTTATAGAAGCAAGAGAGTGGTAGGTGGGAGATAGGTGAGCGGTAGGTGAGCGGTAGGTGAACGGTAGGTGAGATGTGTTAGGTGAGCAGTATCACATTACAAAAGTGCCATTTTACCTTAGTTCATTAATTGAGGGTCAAAATAACAATTCTCCACCTTGACCCTCAATTGAGAAGCTTCGAAATAAAGATTCCCTCCACCTAGCCCCTAGGAGGCCCTCGGCCCTTGGTGAAGTTTACTAAGTCCAGACAGTGTCTGAACTTAGTTGTCGGGTAGCACCTTGGTGCACATATTAGCAGGATTTTCTTCAGTAGGTATCTTCTCCTTCTCGGTCATGTCGGTCGGCAATGCTAGGCCGAAGTCGTTCTTCCCATTGAATTTCTCAATGTCGAATTTGACAAAACTCATTGTCGTGGCTAGGATTTCTTCCAATGAATTATACCTGCTGCCCTTCCAAGAACTAGACTGAAATCACTAAAATGTTGTACTATTGTATAACAACCAAAAGTTTTCAGCCTAAACTTGTCTTATAACGTCTTGTTATCCAAGAAATTCACACCAAATTTCTTACCTTCTCCCCGTGAACTCCACTGCCTTCGCCAACCGAACAGAACGCTCGG